TAGGGAGGGGGAGAAAGAGAGAGGAGAGGGAAACGTCGTTGTGAGAGGAAGACATCGATTGGTTGCCTCCTGCATGACCCTGACTGGAGCAGGGATCAAACCTGCAACCCAGATGCATGCTCTTGGTTGGGAATCGAATCCGAGACCCTTCAGTCTGTAGGCTGATGCTCTAGCCACTCATCAAAACCAGCCAGGGCACGGCGCAACGGGGCTGGTCCCACACCCAAGTGTGGCGGATAAAAATCAGGAGGCTCCCGCGGCTGGGAAGGTCCTTCCTGAGGACTGAGGGGTCCCCGACCCACACCAGGTGCCCCGCTCAGGGTTCCAGTGCCAGGAAGAGAAGTCCCCATAACTTCTGGCTGGAAAAACCAGCAGAAACTGAGGCTCAGGGAAGCTGACCTGGCTGGAGCCCCAGGCAGCTCCTTAAAGGGCCCGCGCACGGACTTATCGGACTCTCTCCCTCTAAGCTCGGAGGGGAGGCAGCTCGAGGGGCGCCAGAGACACACAGGGAAGAACTGAGCTGTTTGGCACCGGAGCGAGCGCTGGAGAGGGGGCTTCCTCGGGGACAAACGTGCTGTAAGAGGCCTTTGTTCCTTTGGTGAGCCCTTCCCTGGGGCGGCAGACAGTCGCCATATCTGGGACTCCAGCAACCTGGCTCACACTGGTAGCCCCGCCCTGCTGACTCCCTGAGGCCCCGCCCCCCCCCGCCCCACACAACTTTCAAGCCCAAGCTGTTGCTACTTGCTTAACCATAGGATTGGCCTGTCTTGGATCCTGCTTCAGGTTTTTCCTAAATTCTTTCAAACGAGCAGCATCGGGTCTCAGCGAGCCCCATACCTCTCATTAAGTAATACACAGAAACAAACACAGGGAGGCAGCCAAAATGAGAATACAAAGAAACAGGTCCCAAATGAAAGAACAGAACAAAACCCCAAGAAAAGAACTAAGCGAAATGGAGATAAGCAACCTAACAGATACTGAGTTCAAAATACTGCTTATAAGGATGCTCAATGAACTCAGTGAGGGCCTCAAGAGCATAAAAAAGTACCAGTCAGAAACGATCGCTGCACAGTTAGAAACGAAGGAGGCTTTAACTGAAATAAAGAATAATTTACATAGCTTCAATAATAGAGTACGTAAATCCAAGGAGCAAACCATCGATTTGGAATATAAGGAAGCAAAAAATGCCCAACCAGAACAGCAAAAAGAAAAAAGAATCCAAAAAAATGAGGATAGTGTAAGGAGCCTCTGGGACAACTTCAAGCGTGCCAACATTCGCATCTTGGGGGTGCCGGAAGGAGAAGAGAGAGAACAAGAAATCGAAAACCTGTTTGAAACAATAATGGCAGAAAACTTTCCTAACTTGGTGAAGGAAACAGACATACAAGTCCAGGAAGCACAGAGAGTCCCAAACAAGATGAACCCCAAGAGGCCCACACCAAGACACATCATCATCAAAATGCAAAAGGTTCAAGACAAAGAGAGAATCCTAAAAGCAGCAAGAGAAAGGCAGCTAGTTACCTACAAGGGAGTTCCCATTAGGCTGTCAGCTGATTTCTCAAAAGAAACTTTGCAGGCCAGAAGGGAGTGGCAAGAAATATTCCGAGTGATGAAAACCAAGAACCTACAACCAAAATTACTCTATCCTGCAAAGCTGTCATTTAGAATCGATGGCCATATAAAAACTTTCCCAGACAAGAAAAAGTTAAAGGAGTTCATCACTACCAAACCGTTATTATATGAAATGATGAAGGGTCTTTTTAAAGAAAAAAATAAAATGTATGAACAAACAAAATGGCAATGAATACATATCTATCAACAATGGAATTTACAAACAAAATGAACAGGAAGAACAGGAACATTCTCATAGATACAGAGAACATTTTGTTGGTTGCCAGTTGGGAAAGGGGTTGGGGGAATGGATGAAAAAGGTGAAGGGATTAAGAAGCACAAATTCATTGCTAGACTGACAAACCTCAAAGGGAAAGGGGTTGGGGGGGTGGGAGGAAATAAACCAAAGAACTTATATGCATAACTAATGGACACGGACAATAGTTTGGGAAAAGGTGGGAGGGGGGCGGGAGTGGGGAGGAGGCGGTCAATGGGGGAAAAATGTGGAACATCTGTAATACATTTTACATCCAACAATAAAGATGTGGGGAAAAAAAATAAAAAAAAAAAAAAAAAAAAAAAAAAACCAGCCAGGGCATAAAGTTGGCTTTTATTGACCTTTTGGAAGTTCTAATTATTATGACACATTCAGTGCTTTTAAAGATTTTTGTTACTGTGATGGTTTTACTATATTAAAAAAATTAGATCAGTAATTTAAATAGAGAATTTAAAAAACTAGACTTAAAAAGCGAATCTGGATTTGTTGCCACCCGTCCCCGTGTTGTGTGCATGTTCATAATTCTCCATTTGCAGATAGAGCACTAGATTATGTCCATTTAGTGAACTGAACTCTACAAGGACAGAGATGCCTTCATTCCTGCTAGGCAGGCAGGCAGTGTTAGCTGTTGTTCAAATTCCTTTGGAAGTTGAAAATAACCTTCCTGAAGTGGTTTTCAGTAACCTTTTATAGTTCAAAGATATAACTGAATAAGGATCATAACTTCTAATTATGTATTACTCTTTGGCACAATATATTCCATATTACTGTGTCAGTATTCAAAACTATATGTCTCTGTCTCTTTCCTCAGCAGGACAGCTCAGTCAGGAGGGTGTCTGTGCAGGGGCAGTTATCACTCACACAGTAGGCAGTATGAGCTCTGCAAGCCGAGCTGGGACCAGAGTGAGGCAGGTGTTCAGCAGAGAGGTGGCTGGGTGGGGCTGCTGGGAGCTTCAGTGTCCACATCCGTGGAAGTTGCCTTTGGCATGGAAACCATCAAATAGGTTAGAGTTGACTGGTGATTGCCATGTCTCAAGATTGCAACCTCACAGCTCTCTTTGATTTTTGCAGAGTTTTTTTTTTTTGTTTTTTTTTTTAAGCTATAATATTCTTACATTTTAAGTGGGTAAGAATTTTCTCCTCTTGGAAAATTTGAGGATTTTATTACGCATCTTACAACCACACTTACCTCTAAGTGTGGTGGACTGAGGCTGGGGGCCGCTCCTAGCTCTCTAGTGCCTTGAAAACAAACTTAAGGGTTTTAAATCAGGTGTGCCCATGGTACGACTTTGAGAAGTGACTAGGCTGCGTTGGCCTATGTTTTGGACACAGATGGGTGTGAGGAGTGGTCTGGTTATTGTGGAGGTCCTTGACAATCTGTCATTGTACATTTGACCCTGGAACAACATGGGTTTGAACTACATGAGTCCACTTATACACAGTTGTTTTTCAATAAATATATAGTGAGCCCTCTGTATCCCCCAGGTTTTGCATCTATGGATTCCACCAACAGATGCTGGTGGCCAACTGTATACATTGATCTATGCCATTTTATATAGGGGCCTTGAGCATCTGCAGTATTTTTGGTATTTACAGTGGCCCTAGAACCAATCCCTCATGGAAGCTGATGGGATAGCTGTAAAGTTTTGGGGGGGATTAAAAGGTATAGGTGGAGCCCTGGCCGGTTTGGCTCAGCAATTAGAGCGTCGGCCTGCGGTCCAGAGACCCAGGTTCAATTCCCGCTAAGGGCGCATACCTCGGTTGCAGTTTGTCCCCAGCCCTGGTTGGTCGTGCAGGTGGCAGCCACTTGATGTGTCTCTTTCACGGCAATGTTTCTCTCTCTCTTCCTCTCTCTCCCTCCCACTCTATCTGAACAAAAAATGGAAAAATGTCCTTGGGTGAGGATAAAAAAAAATTTTTAAAAAGGTATAGGTGGAGTTTTTACTGAGTGGGGTCAGTGCCCCTAGTCCCCGTATTGTTCAGTGGTCAACTAAATAAGTTAGATTTAAAGAACATTTACACAGGTGCCACTTGTTCACGAGGGTTATTAGTTCATTAGGCACAGCCCTGGGAGGAGACGGGATCCAAAGCTTTCTATGAACATCAGGCGTGCTCTTGTTGATTAAGACACTTCCATGTGACGGGCTCACCCCAGTATATGGCCAAGTATTTGTGGATATTCTGGCTCCCAGCTGGACTTTTCCCAAGAGCAGGGCTTGGTCTTCTCTAGCTTCGTGTGGGCCACAGCATCACACAGCAGGAGCCTAGGTATGAGCTGAATGCTGACTGAATGGCTTAATTTGACATTCACCAGCATGAGCCAGTCAGGTGACACTCAAAGAACATTCACCACAGGAGCTTATGGAGTTGGTTTTGTGGCTCCTGGGATCACTTCATAGCCCTGTGTCTCAGGTTTTCCTGGGCTCCCCTCAGGCACTGACCTACCCATAAACACCTGCCAGGGGGTCTGTCTTTCAGATGGGGGAGTGATACTTGAGGAAGATGAAAGGCATTATTCAGGTTCAGAATTTTCCAATTTAAAAATTAAATGTTTATACTCAAAACATTTGAAACTTATAATTTCTTTCTATTTCCTCTGTGATAAATCCTAAACAACGTAGATATTTTAAATGTGTATGTTTTCCCACATGTTTAGATGCTGACCTATTTGAAAATAAGAGTCTAGAAAGGATATGGGAGGAAAATGAAATTACGTAGGCCTCATCTCTTCCTCTCACTGCGCTAAATAATGATGCTCTGAGTCAGATATACACTAGACTTTGTGAACATTGTTTTTCCATCAGACAGGACCGTCAGTTGAGAGACCCTTGCACAGGTGAGAGGTAAGACGATACAGATGGCCTCTGGGCCCTCTGCTTTTATAGCGATGGGCATTTTCATGGTGTAGTGATCATGTTTCTCAGGAAGCCCTTTGTGGTTCTGGTCCCTGTGACTCTGCCCTGTGTGGGCTGTGCCCTGTCCCCTCCACTGATCCCCAGTCTTTTCCTTTGACCACGCATTCTGTTTAGTTCCAAAGCTTGATCTCTTTGTAGGCTAATCCTGGCCCACTGGTTCATTCCCTGTGGTACATGTTTTCTTGGTTGTTTTCTAGGTGGTGCTGGTGAGGTGGAATGAGCCATACCAGAAGCTGGCCACGTGTGACGCAGATGGAGGGATATTTGTGTGGATTCAGTATGAAGGAAGGTGGTCTGTGGAGCTGGTCAACGACCGAGGGGCCCAGGTGAGTGGGCTGGAGCCCGTCCAGAGACAGTGCTGGGGAAGCAGCACAGACCTGTGTTTCTGGGCACAACAGTCTTTCAGGACTAGGTGGGGAGAAAGAAATGGAACCAGAACCCTGCTTTTCATGCTGCGTGAGTGTCTCTAGACAAAAAGAGAGCACGATCATACTTCTCAACTTGCTGCTCTTGTGAGAACACTTCAGGTTTTAAAGCTGTAATTAAATCTATGAAAACGTTTTTTACATTCAGTGTGGGTCGCACGTTGAATCTGGGTCCTCTGAAGTCCTCCTGGCGCATCACTATTTTGCTCCCTTCCACAAGGTATTTCCCGTGTCGCAGTCTCCGTGGCTCTCTCGCAGGGTGCTGCGCGCGACTGTTTCTCAGCACCCCTCACCAAGCTGAGGTCTTACACTTCTTCTCTCGGGTTGCAGTTAGCGTGACCACCTGTGCTCCTCCTCAGCTTTTCCTCTCTGATACAGACTTGGCTCCCTGGGAGGAAAGCAGTTGCTCCAGGGACACCCTGCTGAGCTGTGCTGTTTTTTGAAACCTGCTCCATTGACTTTTCTGGCTTATGGGACAGCTTTGTTCTTCCTCCCACGCACGGACGGCTGCATGGAGCTCGCCTTCTGTGCTCCAGGACATATGTCCCATCCCAGGGGGTCAGCAGAACCAGGGCTTCAGAACCGAATCCTCACTCTAAGATGAGGGGTCTCTAGACTCTTCTCCTCTCCTAGCGTGTTTTCCCTGTGGCTGCCTTTACACGTTTCTGAAGACAGGGTTCTCACCCACTCCTCTCCCGTCTGTTGCTTAGAAAAGCTGTGAGCTCTGTGACAGAGATGAGTGAAGTGACATAAAATCGCAAGGAGTGGAGATATTATTAGCAGATCCTTATTAAAGGATCTTTATAAGATGTCATCACAGAAGACAAATCTACCTCTGGGTAAAATCAAATTTTCTTTTCTTTGTGGGTTTATGTATTTGGTAGGGTGAATGTAATACTTTTGACTGACGCTGAAAGGCGATATTGCAATAGGCAGTTAGACATGAGCAGAGCAAGGATGATGGTCCAGGTACAAAAGGTCACCAGGGCAAAAAGCCCAGGTGCCTAGCAAGGGGCAAAACTGGGAAAACATGGACCTAGCCCCCCAGGGTAATCTTTCCTCCCTCGCATTTCCCTGGTCATGCAGTTTGGACCCCCTGACCTTTCCTCCCTAAGGATAACATCTAGGCCTCAGCTATAGTTCAGTTCCAGGCCCAGAAAAACCTCAAAACCAGACAAGCAGCACCATGGCTGCCTCAGGACCAGTTACATTGACTAATGACCTCCTGTCCTAGTGCCAACCAATCAGTGGAGACCATAAATCTGAAAGAGCACACCTGGAAAACTGATGAATATTCTATTGAGATTCTCCCCTGAGATCTCCCCTAAGATTCCTGCCTGCAAAAGAGAGATAAATACCTTGCCCCATTCCCTTCCCCCCTTTTTTTTTTTTTAAATTATATTTTATTTTTTTTATTTATTATTTTTTTTTTTTATCCTCACCCAAGGATATTTTTCCATTTTTTGTACAGATAGAGTGGGAGGGAGAGAGAGGAAGGTAGAGAGAGAGAGAAACATCGATGTGAAGGGACACATCGAGTGGCTGCCACCCACACGACCAACCAGGGCCGGGGACAAACTGCAACCGAGGTACGTGCCCTTAGCGGGAACCGAACCCGGGTCTCTCGGGACCGCAGGCCGACGCTCTAACCGCTGAGCCAAACTGGCCAGGGCCCCTTCCCCCTTTTATTCCCCCACAGGTGTGAGGGTACCCCAAGACACTTGCATCCAGGGGAGCAGTGGGCAGAGGCAGCCTTCCCAGGACTCCATTCAGAAGATGTTGTTATTCTCAGTTAATGGAAAGAAAGGAAAAAACGTCAGGGAGGTTCAGTAACTTGCCCAAAAAAGGTCATGGGTGCTAAAGCCAGAACTGAACCCAGGTTTGAGTCCAAAACACTCTACCACATTGTCTTCTTCCCCAACAAGAAACGATTTTCTCTTTTAGCAGAAATGCATCTATTCATAGTATATTGATAAGACATATTATTCCAAACATTTTTTTAGATAACAGTACTGTTTAATTGCTTTATATTTTTATTCCTGCATTGTGGCTTCCCAAAGTGCTTATTTAATTCTTTTAGTTCTGAATGTACCTTTGCCGTATTCCCTATTCTAAGATACGGACGTTATTTGGGAGATGTCTGAGAAATCTCCCCTACCCCTCCTTGTTATTCAGATGTGACCGCAGTAGGGTGCCAGTCTGTGCACTTCTCCTCTGACATGGTACATAACACCCAGGAAAGGTGCTTCCTGGCATCAAGGGACAAAGGCCCCTGAATCTGGACAAACCTGGTTCTTGATCAGCAGTGCTTTTGGAGAAAGATCTTGATCAAAGGAGGAAATGTAAAAAGTTATAAGCAGAAATTTTATTTAAAACGGGGTTGAGAGGCTGGAAGAGAGAACTTTCATGCTTGTGTCATTCAAGCAGAGGCCTGAACCCACAGGAAGAGGTAGGTACCTGCATCTCCCACAGAAAGTGATGCTCCTGGATACCTTAGCAGGCGGAAGGAAAGATTCCTTCTTGCCCAGTAACAGCTCAGCCAATGGGAGGCTGCCATAGTTCAGCCAATGAGAAGTCACTATACTTGAACCTTTCACTTTCCCCCTGTGGAACCTTCCTTCACAACAGCCCCTCCAAAATCCATCAAAGAGCATCAGTTGTTTCTCTGGACCTGGTGTGGTTCGCCATTAGACTGAATGTCATCAACAGCAATTCTTTGTTGTTCCTGACTAAACCTGTCTGGTTATTTGTTAAAGGTCAGCATTGTACAAAAGCGCTCCAGCCTCAGCAGCCAAGTAGAGCTAACACCACATCTTTTTCTCCTGACTGGCAGCCTGTCTAAGGAGGGAACCGTCTGTCATCTCCTAGCAGCTGTGTGGGCCCTAACTCCACCATATTCCGCAGCTTTTCTTGTCATTTCTAACGTGCAGATAGCATGTTAGAAAAAAGAAAGGAAGGATGAATTCAGACGTGGAGGTGAATCAGCTTACATGAACCATAGGACATCTGGAAGTACCTAGAATCTCAAATGCCTGTGCCAGCTGGGTTCTACCAAATTGTTCATTGTATCTTGTGATGTGTTGTATATTTTTGTATAATTTTACTTTTTGGAACTCTGATTCTACACATCTAAGGACTTATTGAACAATTGTCATATTAAATACCTACATTTTGGGGAGGTTGGGTTGCTTTTCATTGTGTTGAAGTCAGATCTTACTGGAATAAAGAACACTGCACTAGTGATGATGAATCACTGGTCGAAGGAATGGTGGCTGTCTACACCTGAACCAGTATCTGGTGGGAGGAGGGACAATTTTGTGACTTGGAAGAGGAATATCCTTAAAAACTGCTCAGAGAAAAATATTAGAAGAATGAGAGGTGATCCTTGTTATATAACATGACTTTCATTGAAACAAAGTAATCAAACATCTGGCAAAAGCTAAGTGGTGCTTTAACAATTTCTTTTATAGGAAATGGTTGAGTCCGTTGCTTCAAAATTGAGTCCGGAGCAGTGCATGCATAATTTTACAGTATTAGCCACCAAAGAGGGTCTGATAAAAGCTGTCTCAGGCAGTGGGTCATTCAGGCTGCTGCTCAGCTTTAGTAATCCATGTCTAAGAGCACTCGCTAGTGAAGCAAGAGCACTGGAACCCTCTGCAGTTGAAAGACAACCAGTAGAAGGGTCATTCTGCTTAATTTTCTTTACAACATTTGGTCCTGAGTTTCCCTGGTTTTTTTTTTTTTTCCCAGTTGTGATATGTTCTTACTACTCTGTGCTAATCTAATTTATTTATTATTTTTTTAAATCTTCACCTGAGGTTATTTTTCTATTTTTGTTCAGATAGAGTGGGAGAGAGGGAGAGACAGGGACACATTGACTGGTTGCCTCCCACATGACCCCGACCAGAGCTGGGGACAAACCACAACCAAGGTATGTTCCCTTGACTGGAATCGAACCCATGACTCATTGGTCCTTGGGCCGACGCTTCAACCAGCCAGGGAGGAAGGGAGAGGGAGAGAGAGATAGAAACATCAATGAGAACATTGATTGGCTGCCTCCTGCATGCCCCCCACTGGGGATTAGTCCCACAACCTGGGCATGTGCCCTGACCAGGCGGATGCTCTAACCGCTGAGCCAAACCGGCCAGGGCAAAACTTTTACTCTTTTAAAGATACCACTAAGAAAATGAAAAAGCAAACCACAGAATGGGAGAAATTATTGCCACACACATTTCTGATAAAGGATTGTATTTAGAATTTTTATGACACAATATGGCCAACTTCTTGACATGTATGAATAGGTGAATATGAATACTTGTATATAGCAAAGAATTTGAACAGACATGTCCCAAAAGATGGTGTACAAATGACCAATAAGCACGTGAAATGCTCAACATACTAGTCATTGGGGAAATGCAAATTAAAACACAGTGTCCTATAACTACACTAGGATAGCTAAAATAAAAAAACTGACAACACCAGGTGTCAGTGAGGTGTGGACCTGCTGGTACTCTCATATACTGCTGATGGGGGTGTAAAATGGTACAACCACTTTGGAAAACAATGTGGTGGTTACTTATGCAGTTACACTTACCATATGAACCAGCAATTAATTCTACTCCTAGGTATTTACCAAAGACATGAAACCATATGTCTACAAAAGGTCTTGCCCATTTTGGTTATTCTGTCTGTGTCTATTTTCTCTGTGAAATGGGCATGGTAATACCTACCACAGGTGGTCTTGACGAGATTTATTAATGTGTGTGAAGCACTTACACTGACACATGCTGTTCAAATGATGTCTTTTCCGTTATATAATATTGTTACAATACATATATTATGTATATTTATATTGTTCTCTTTAATCTCTTGATCTTAGTCAAAGGCTAAGTTAATGACTATATCTAGTCTTTGATAAAAGTGCTTTCCCTTTGTGATTACAAATTGACCACTTTTGTCTGTGTGTGTCTCAAAGGTGAGTGATTTCACGTGGAGCCATGATGGGACTCAAGCGCTTATATCATATCGAGATGGGTTTGTCCTGGTCGGTTCTGTCAGTGGACAAAGACACTGGTCATCTGAGATCAACCTGGAAAGTCAAATCACATGTGGCATATGGACTCCTGATGACCAACAGGTAATGCCTCATGAATATGGTTGTGTAATGTTAAAACCATGGGAGCTGAGAAGGAAATGAGTTCAGTATTATCACACAGGGAAGAAGGGATGGAGCTAGGGGAGTTGGCTCCAAAGCCTCTTAAAGAATCAGGAAGAAAAAGAACAATGACAGTGTCCCGGTAAGTATTAAAACAAAAATTTGAAATGACCCATAGATTGGAGAAATAATATTTTCCACCAATATGGTAAACATTGGGCTAACATTTTAATTACAGAAAATGGTGACACAAATTTAGTTTTAAATCTACGTAACTAGACAATTGGTAAATGGATAATGGACATACATAACAATTTACAGAAGAAGTTCAAGTAGTCAGTAATCATGGTGGAAAAATATTCTCAGAGAAAAAATGCTAAATAGCATAGTGAGGATATATTTTCATTTATTAGCAAAAGTAGTAGTAAGCTAATGTAGGTGATTTTACTTATTGATAAGAGTAAAATCAAATAAGCATTCGTATTCATTGCTAGTAACGATGTGTATTAGATGTTTGAGGAAGCATTTTGGTGTAGAGTATATCAGAAGTCTTAAAAATCATTACCCACTTTGACCTGGTAATATACTTTAGGAATTTATCGAAAAGAAACAAAGGGAAGAAAATAACAGTTCTCTATTAAAGTAGTCTTTATGATAGTAAAAATTTGGCAATAGCCCACTTGTTTTAAAAATAAGATGGTTAAGTAAACTGTGGTGTAACTACTTAACATATTACATAGTAGTTCCGTAAATTGTAGATTGTGGTTACAAAGATGGTGTAATAATTTGGGAGAGCTCTTATGTTCTAATGTTAAGGGGAAAGTCAGGATTTGAAGTGGTATATGTGGTGTGATTACCACATCAAAACACCCAAGTGAAGCCTGTCTGCAGAGTGCAAAGAACTAGAAGGAAGTGAACCCAAGTACCACGAGCAGGTTGTAATTTTTATGGTGATGAACCTCATTTTTTCAAACATAATTTCAAAATTTTGTTTAATGTTCTATTTTCATGATAAAACAACATGCAATAACCTAATAAAATGATTTGTTATTCATTGATTTTTAAATATAGTATTTACTAGTTAAAACCTTTGTAAATATAAAACTTGTGTTGTCTAAGTACAAAAGAATCCATAAAATGCTGAAACATTTCAAGCAGTTTAATACGGAACCATAACTTATTTTGAGCCACTTTGTGTTTTTTTTTTTTCACTGAATTGCTTTCCTCTAGTTACTATATGTTTCATGTTTCCATTTTTTTTCAAGTAAAAAGGGCCAATATTTTTTTTTTCTCAAACTTAGTGTTGTGAGAAGTATAGAAAGATATTCTCAGCCCCATGTTTCTTCCCTTGCCTTCCTCCAAAGGCTACTACTTATCCAGTAAAATATGCATGTATCCATATGCGGCTTTTGGATTTATGTATTATGACATTTTATTTTTGTAGGTTTTTACTGTCCCTTGTGTCTCCTCAAAGAGAAGCATGCCACAGTCCATTAAGTAACCTTGCATGGGCACTTCACCTTTCCCTGCAGTTTCTTCCTCTGTGATAAGGGGTGTGAGTTATTTCCTGCTGAATTCCCAGGGCTTTTGTAATGATCACATGAGGGAACAGAAGTTCTTCCTTCACCTGGTCCTAGAGTGATAGAGCCCATGAGGCTCATGTGATAGTCCCCCTGATGAGCTGTACCAGCCAGTGTCCCCAGCACACTGCACACCTGAAGTGTGACAGACACCAGACCCAGAGATGCTGGGGACACAGTGAATAAGACTTAGTACCTGCCTTTGAGGTACAAGGGGTCCACTGAGACAGACTAGCATCCTGTGCCACGTCCTGGGAAAGTTGCTAAGGTAGCAGGCAGCATGGTATCATGGGCATCACAGTGGAGATGGGCTGCAGCTTCCAAGCCAGGCACTGGGACTTGGTTCCTTAGACCTGTTGGCAAGATGAGTGGCTTTGACAGGTGGCTGGGCTCCTGGCCCATACCTCTGACCCAATGACTGCCTTTCCTGGTTCTTAGGGCTAACAGGTAAGATTTGTTCAAGGGAAGTGCTCACTATCATTTTTAAAAAGGCTGTTGACCACTGATGCAATGAGGATCCTTGGAAGAACTTAACATAGAGAAGAGAGGTATGGGATACTCTTTATCCATCAGGTTTGAACTGAGACATGGAAAAATAATATTCCTTTCTTCATCTCTGTCACTCTTCCATATCTCTTTTTTGTTTTGAAAATTACTAATGAAAAGAGATTATGAAGAAAGCCTAATGTTTATAATGTATATTTAAAGTAGTGCCTCCAGTCCTGGGCGGTTTGACTCAGGTTAGAGCATCGGCCCACGGACCAATGAGTCGCGGGTTCAATTCTGGCCAAGGGCATGTACCTTGGTTGTGGTTTGTCCCTGCCCTAGTCAAGTCCTGCGGGAGGCAACCAGCTGATGTGGCTCTATCACATTGATGTTTCTCTTTCTCTCTCCCTACCTCTCTCCTACTCTATCTGATAATAAATGGAAAAGTATCCTTGGGTGAGGAATAAAAAATAAAAGTGGTGCCTCCATAGTCTCAAGGTGTGGACTGCAAGAGGCCACTGTCTCTTCCCACCCCCCGGACAACCTCCTGCCCTTAGTGTAGAGTAATACAGCCTTCAGAATGAAACTGCCCCCTCACATCTTGAGATAGCGCTGATCATAATGGAATTTTAGGCTGCATCCTGTTAACTTTCTAAAATATAAGCAGTACTATTTTATAAGCAGTGAGTTAAAAGCTCAGCTCTTTTCCTATTTGTCATGTATTTTCTGTAGTCTAGAGTGGTGATTTATATACCCTTTGGGAGTTATGGACAACTATGAATAGCAAATGGAAATTGGAAACCCATTCCCAGAAAACTGTGCACATATACATACATGATTGTATATATATCAGTTTGCATAGAATTTTGTGAGCTCATAGGATTCCATCCATGGTTCCTCCCCCTTCAAATCCTAATCTAGATAGTTTGGAGGTAACTTTGGGGTAATCTTCCCCAACTTTTTATTGTGCACATATTCAGACATTACCAAAAAGTTGGAAGAATATATCCTCTTTAAATTCAGGAGCTAACATTTTGCCATATTTGTGCTCCCTGTCTTGCTCTTCCCCTGCCTTCTTTCCTTGCTCTGTCCAGACACACACATTTTTTTGTAGTACTATTTTTTTTTAATCCTCACCTGAGGACATTTTTTGCATTTATCTTCAGATAGAGTGGGAGGGAGAGAAAGGGGAAGAGAGAGAGAAACATCGATGTGAAAGAAACACATCAACTGGTTGGCACCCACAGGGGCAGGGACAAACTGCAACCAAGGTACATGCCCTTAGCGGGAACCGAACCCAAGACTCTCCGGTCCGCAGGCCGACGCTCTGACCACTGAGCAAAACCAACCAGAGCTGTAGTACTATTTTTGAGAGTAAGTTGTAGGCATGGCATATCACCCTTAAATATTTACTATGCATGTCCTATAATTAAGGTCATTCTATATTATCACACCTAAGAAATTAGCAGTAATATTATCAGGTATTCAGGCTATCTTTATATTTTCCTAATGTTTACAAGAATGTGTTTTATAGACTTTTTTTTGTTTGTTTGGAACCAGGACCAGTCTTGTTTATCTATAGCAATTGGTTGTTTTGTCTTTAGTCTAGAATAGTTTCCTTTTTAAAAAATGTTTTTGTGATATTGCCTTCTTAATGAGTTCAATGTAGTTTCCTTATTGAATGTTCCACACTTTGGGTTTCTCTGATTATTTACTCATAATATCATTTAACCTCTCCTAGGATCTGTATTTTCTATAAACTAGAAGTTAGAGCTAGATTAGAGTTGGATTAAATAATTTTGATTAGAATACTGTATAGATGACATATTCTTCACACTGAACCACAATAAAAGGTGTATAATATCATATTATCCCACTGTGAGGGTTGCTGAGTTTGATGGAACCTTTGTAAAAACAAAATTACTTTTCATAGCATGTTCTCTAGTTTTATCTACACTTATAGCTATTTTTTTTCAACTGGTGTGTTTTATTTCAGGCTTAAAGTTGTCTTTCATTAAATTGTAAGAGGGCATGCACCCCTGCCTGGGGTTTGTATAGTAGGTAAGGATTCTGTCTTCATGTGCTTGACTCCCATAACAGAATTCCACATGCTGTGGGGCTTAAACAACAGGCATTTGTGTCTCACAGTTCTGGAGACTGGAAGTTCAAATCAGGGTGTTGGCAGCTTTGATTTCTCTTGAGCCTTTCTCCCTGTCAGTGGTTTAGACTGGCACAGTGATTGGAGAGGCCTCCAAAATCTCTGAAGAGTCTGATTGGTGAGGGTCTTCTCTTATACAAGGCTAGTCTGTGAGGCTGGGAGAGGCAGCTGTTTTTTCTGAGGTACAGATACCAACACAGAGAGTCAAGGGAAATGAAGAAGCAATAAGCTTTCTGGCCCAAACAAAGGTATAAGATAAATCTCCAGAAACTGACCCCATTAAAGTAGAGATATATGATTTACCTCATAGAGAATTTAAAGTAGAAATGATAAAGGTGTGCTTAATGAGATCAGAAGAAAAGTATATGAATGAAGTGAGAATTTCAACACAGGGACAAATCATTTTTTCAAAATCAGATATTATGGAGGTGAAGAATATAATACCTGAAATGAAAAAAATTCACAAAGGGTGAATTTTGGGTTAGATCAAGCAAAAGAAAGAATCAGTGAACTTGAAGACAGGTCAGAAGAGCAAAAAAGGAAAAAGGTGAGAAAGAGTGAAGAAAGCTTAAGGAACTTGCGGGAACACCATCTGCTGAACCAATATATGCATTTGGGAGTCCCAAAAGGAGAAGGGTGGGAGGGCCAGAAAGCTTATGTAAAGAAATAATAGTTGAAAACTTTCCGAATATAGGAATTATAAATTGTTTTATGGAAGCCCTATGGTAACCACCAAGAAAATACCTGTAGAAGATACC